TTAACATAAATAAACGTACTCATTTTTCATGCATACGATTTAATCAATCCAACCAAATCATCCATTTGGCTGCATGTCATCTTGGCACTAACATCTCTATGATCTAGGCCTTCATCTCATTATTTTCCAATTATCTTATGATTAGACTTAATATAGAAAAATAAGTCTAAACTTATATCTCAAATGAGATGGAGGCCTAGATCTTAGAGATCCTTCTTTATGGTTAATTATATAGGAGAGTGTTGTAAGGTTAAACATACAATAAGGAAAATTAAGCTACTGCTTATAGAAGATCAAGATCGAGCACAACAATTTGCCTTGTTTTTGTTTTTTAATTTCAGCATTTTTTTCTTTAATTTCTCCTTTTAATGAAATAATCATATATAATTTACGTACTCATCAAGTTCGAGACCTATTAATTAATTTAAGTTTCTTCATTTGTCATTTGTGGAAACACATTTGCAATGGTAAGTATAATTAAAGAATCTGATTAGCAGTTGAGTTTGAGACATTCAAAGAGGAATATGTCAATAATTAAGTTAAGTAAGATATAATAAAAACTGGCAAAAAGTATTGTTTTGAGAAAGGAAAGTAATACAGTTACCGAAGGATGGGCACCTAATTCGTGCACCGAATGACGTAGCGTAATCCTGACTATCTATTAATTATGAATTAATATTAATCGACGGTCATGATTTCGACACGTTATTCGGTACACGAATTTGATGTGCATCCTTCAGTAACTGTAGCATTACTCTTTGAGAAAATCTCATATTTAACAAAAAATATAAGTCAATTGGGAAAGGGAGGTTTCTTTTAAAAAAATCAATTGATAATATATTATATATTTGACTGCGTTAATTGAAAGAACAGATATCAAGCTAATTTAGGATAATATATTATCTTTCAATAATGCACCTATTTAATTAATTAACATAAATAAACATGCTCATGTTTCATGCATATGATCTAATCAATCCACCCAAATCAGCCATTTGGCTGCATGTCATCTCGAAACTGACATCTCTAAGTTTAGGCCTCTATCTCATTATTTTTCAATTATCTTATGATTAGATTTAATATAGAAAAATAAGTCTAAACTTGTATCTCAAATGAGATGGAGGCCTAGATCTTAGAGATCTTTCTTTATGGTTAATTATATATGAGAGTTCTGTAAGGTTAAGCATATAATAGGCAAATCAAGCTCCTACTTATGGAAGATCAAGATCGAGCACAATAATTTGCCTTGCCTTTGTCTTTTAATTTCAATATTTTTTTTTTCCCTTAATTTCTCCTTTTAATAAATTAAACATATATAATTTATGTCCTCATCAAGTTCGAGACCTATTAATTAATTTAAGTTTCTTTCATTTGTCACTTGTGGAAACATGTTTACAATGGTAAGTATTGTAAGCTATTTATCAACTTATGATTCTAGTGTGGTAACACTAGTCATGGTATAAGCACTTCATGTTGATTCTCACACAGTCATTTCTATTTCATTTCCAATGTGATGACTCTCTATCGAAGTGACCACTTTCAATTAATTCTATTTTCCGTTGTATCGGGTACTTCAAAGTCTAAGTGATCACATGCATCTAGTGGCAGATATTTTTGCACAACATGCATGTATTGCATTCTGTTTTCATTGAATTAATTTTTATTCTCCTTTGAGATATTATTTGTGGTCCATGACACTTGTCATTTATTCATATAATGTGCTGGAAATTTTGTTTGCCTTGTCGGTGGTCCCAAGAAAGTTTGGAATAAACTTTTCCAAAAATGTAAGACCAAAAAGCATCTTGTTGGCCACCTGTCCCCTTGCATTGGCCAGAAGTTTTCTTTATATTCTCTTCTCCAATGTATTTCATTTTAAGCCTGATAATTCATTTGAAAGTACTCTGCATATTCTAAAAGGTTTCTTTTGTTTTACATCAGGTTTCATATACTTAGATAGGCTTACATATACCTTCCTCAAAACTTTGAGTTTTCGTCTTTGCTACTACATTGGTTACGTAGATGTTGCTCGATGGTTTTTCGAGCTACTTCAACTAAAGAGCTTCTTCAGTGATTGATCCTTGAGAGGTCCTCAAGGCTGACTAGGTGGTCTCGTTAATGTGGAGCTTGTTGTGGTAGTTCGAAGTTTGACCAAAAGGTGGAGTTTAAAGCGTTCCGACAACAGGGAATGTCCTTGTAACTGATGCTTAACATTGGTTTTGTAATTGAACTGTAAATGTTTGCCATAGTAGATTAAATTCATCTGGATTTGGTCCCATGGATGTAGGCATTTTGCCGAACCATGTAAAATCCCCTAATGTGCTTTATTTTAAGTCATGAATGTTTGGTTTGTATTAATGATGAATGAACAAACTCATAAGCACTAAAATCAACGTAGCAACCCATTTTGCTTAAGTTTAATCAACTTGGTAAGTAATTAAAACTTTCAAGTATAATTAATGAATCCATTGCCGCGTTCATTGATCAAATTGGTAGTTGAGTTTGAGACATTCAAAGAGGAATATGTCAATAATTAAGTTGTTAAGTAAGATATAATAAAAACTGGCTAAACAATGGAGTAAAGTTTTGAGAAAATCCCGTATGTAAAAACAGATAAAAGTCAATTGGGAAAGGGAGGTTTCTTTTGAAAAAATCAATTGATAATATATTATGGATTTGACAGGATTAATTGAAAGTACCTATATCTAGCTAATTTAGGATAAAAAATTCCAAGACTTGGATTACTTAATCTTTGAATCATGCACCAAATTAATTAATTAACATAAATAAACATACCCATGTTTCATGCATATGATTTAATCAATCCACCCAAATAAGCCATTTGGCTGCATGTCATCTTGAAACTGACATCTCTAAGATCTAGGCCTCCATCTCGTTATTTTCCAATTATCATAATTAGGTTTAATGAAGAAAAATAAGTCTAAACTTGTATCTCAAATGAGATGGAGGCCTAGATCTGAGAGATCTTTCTTTATGGTTAATTATATAGGAGAGTGTTGTAAGGTTAAACATATAATAAGGCAAATTAAGCTGTTGCTTATGGAAGATCAAGATCAAGCACAACAATTTGCCTTGTCTTTGTTTTATAATTTCAACATTTTTTTTTTTCTTTAATTTCTCCATTTAAGAAAATAATCATAAATAATTTACGTACTCATCAAGTTTGAGACCTATTAATTAAATTAAGTTTCTTCATTTGTCATTTGCGGAAACATATTTGCAATGGTAAGTATAATTAAAGAATCCACGGTCGCTTTCATTGATCTAATTAGTAGTTGAGTTTGAGAAATTCAAAGAGGAATATGTCAATAATTAAGTTGTTAAGTAAGATATAATATAAACTGGCTAAACAATGGATTAAGGTTTTGAGAAAATCCCATATGTACCAACAAATAAAAGTCAATTGGGAAAGGGAGGTTTCTGTTAAAAAAATCAATTGATAATATATTATAGATTTGATAGGATTAATTGAAAGAACAGATGTCTAGCTAATTTAGGACACCAAATTCCAACACTTGGATTGCTTAGTCTTTGAATCTGGCACCTATTTAATTAATTAGCATAAATAAAGATACCCATATTTCATGCATATGATTTAATCAATCCAGTCAAATCAGCCATTTGGCTACATGTCATCTGGACACTGACATCTCTGAGATCTAGGCCTCCATCTCATTATTTTCCAATTATCTTATGATTAGATTTAATATAGAAAAATAAGTCTAAGCTTGTATCTTTAATGAGATGGAGGCCTAGATCTTAGAGATCCTTCTTTATGGTTAATTATATGGGAGAGTGTTGTAAGGTTAAACATATACATAAGAAGGCAAATTAAGTTGCTGCTTATGCATGATCAAAATCAAGCACAACAATTTGCCTTGTCTTTGTTTTTTAATTTAAGCATTTTTTTTTCTTTAATTTATCACTTTAATAAAAAAAACATATAAAACTTACGTACTCATCACGTTCGAGACCTATTAATTAATTTAAGTTTCTTCATTTGTCATTTGTGGAAACATATTTACAAGGTAAGAGTTGCGAATGAGAATTGAGAGGGAAAAAAAAAACTTAAGAGAGTAAAGTTGTTACTGTTTTCTTTTCATTAACAAAGTAAAAAAGTTACAAGCTCTGTTATATACAAGAGCACAATACACGTGAGTTAACAAATTGCAACTTGCAACTTAGGCTAGGCTAAGGTTACTTGTCAGTAACCTAAACATAATGAACCACTTGGTACATTAATCCTAACATCTTCCCTTAAACCACACTTCCAATAGACATGACCATTTCGGAAACAAACTAATCCTAACATCCTCCCTTAAACTAAACTTCCATAACCATGTTGTTTTGACAACTGAGATTTCATCATCCAAGAGCACATTATCAAACTCAGCAAACACCAGCAAACACAATACTAATTCTCATTACTTCAATATGGAATCAACATCAAGTTTAGCACTGAATCATCAGAACTAGCAGCAAAACTAAAACAATTCTTCATCACTTCAATAAAAAAAATCAGCATCAAAACTGACAACTTTAACAGCATACTTCAATAGAAAAATCAGCATCAAAACTGACAGTTGCAACAGCATTAATCAACATCAAACTAACAGCTTCAACAACATTAAAATTAACACTGAATCATCAGAACTAATCAGCAAACACTAAAAGAATCTTTCAACTCCTCAATACTGAAACTGACAACTTCAACAACATACTTCAATAGAAAAATCAGCATCAAAATTGACAGCTGCAACAACATTAATCAGCATCAAACTGACAGCTTCAACAGTATTAAACTTAGCACTGAATCATCAGAACTTATCAGCAAACACTGAAACAATCTTTCAACTCCTCAATACTGAAACTCCAAAACAGCTCCAACATATCAATTTCAACACTTCAATACAAACTTCAACAACAGCAAACATCAAACTCATCACTTCTGAAACTCTCAAACAGCTTCAACAAAAAAAATTTCACTCTTCAAAACTGAAACTCCAGAACAGCTGCAACAAACATCAAACAAATTTTTAACCCTGCAAAATTGAAACTCCAGAACAGCAAACAAATTTTCAACCCTGCAAAACTGAAACTCCAGAACAGCTTCAACAAAAAAACTTTAACTCTTCAAAACTGAAATTCTAGAACATCTGTAACAAACACCAAACAAATTTTCAACCCTGCAAAACTCTAATATTAAAACACCAGTAACACAGCAACAGCAGCAGCAGAGTGATTAAACTGATGGAGGAGCTCGTATATTGAGCTTTTCTCGAAATGTTGCAAACTTGGAAGTTGGCAATGGTTTAGTAAGAACATCTGCTTTTTGAAATTCAGTAGGAACATACTGAACTTTCAGTTTGTTGTTAGTAACTTGATTTCTCACATAATGAGCATCAAGCTCAATGTGTTTTATCTTGCCATGAAAGACAGGATTAGAGGCTAATGAACCAGCACTTTGGTTGTCACACAAAATGATAGAAATACCAGAAAGTTGCAGTCCAAGCTCAGTGAATAGACTATAAAACCAGACAATCTCAGTTGATCCTTGTGCAAGGGCTCGATACTCTATTTCAGTAGATGACAGAGCAACAACTCTTTGTTTTCTAGAATACCACTTAATTAAGTTGGATCCAAGAAACACACAGCAGCTGCTTGTTGATCTTCTGTCATGCAAGCTGCTGGCCCAGTCAGCATCAGTGAAACACTCCAGCTGAAACTAATGGCTCTTAGTGAAGTGAACTCCATAATTAGAAGTTCCTTTAATATATCTTAGAAGCCTCTTACAGGTTTGCCAGTGTAGCTGTCTGGATGCCTTTAAAAACTGTCTCAGTTTGTTGACTGAATAAGCAATGTCTAGTCTGGATGAATAAGGTATTGCAAGGCCCCAATGGTACTGCGGTAAAGTGCAAGATTGTCAAATAGATCACTGTCATCAGGAGTTAGTTTAGTGCCGACTACCATTGGGGTAGAACATGGTTTGCAATCAACCATTTTGGTTTTGATGAGAATGTCCTTTGCATACTTTTCTTGATTCATGTAAAGACCAGTTGCATCTCAGGTAACCTCATAGCCCAAAAAATATTTTAAAGATCCAAGAATCTTCAAAGCAAATTGAGTGTTAAGCTTCTGGACAGTGTCTTGAATCAGCTGAGAAGTATTTCCTATCAAGAGTATATCATCCACATATACTAAGACATATATTACTTGGTCTTGATTCTGGAAAATAAATGAGCTTGGATCAGCCACTGAATTTACAAAGCTCCAATCCAAAAATGTTGCTTTAAGTTTGTCAAACCAGGCTCTTGGAGCGTGCTCCAACCCATAGAGTGCCTTTTTCAGTCTGCATACATGATGAGGAGTGGCAGAATCCACAAACCCTTCTGGCTGTACCATATACACATTTTCAGCTAATTCACCATTCAAGAATGCATTGTTAATATCAACCTGCTAGATGTCCCATTCATGGCTCACGGCTAGACTGAGAATAACTCTAACAGTGGGTGATTTTACAACTGGACTGAAGGTTTCTAGGTAGTCAATTCCAGGTGTTTGCTAGAAGCTTTTTGCAACCAATCTTGCTTTGAACCTTTGGATATAACCATCAACATTATGTTTAACTTTAAACACCCATTTACAGCCCACTGGATGCATGTCTGGAGTTAGTGGAACTAGTTCCCAGGTTTGATTAGCTAAAAGAGCTTCAAATTCTGACTGCATAGTAGCTGTCCAAGAGGGATAAGAGAGTGCTTCCGAAACAGTGTTTGGTTCCTTGGTATCAAGGTGAGAGGTGGAAATAAGGGCAGTAGTGTGAGCTTTGGCTTTGGACCGAGTGATCATTTGATGAGTGTTTTGGGTTGAGATATTGGATGGAGGAAAGGATAAGTCAACAATCAATGGTATGGTGTCAAAATATGCATTAGAATCAATGGTTAATAGGAGAAGTAGCAGGTTGAATGGGATTGTCATGAACTAAAGATAAATCATGCCTATTGAAGACCTGATCATATGTAGTAGGACAAGGAGAAGAAGATGTAGACTCTTCAACATATGCAGTAGGACAAGGAGAAGCGGATGGAGACTCTTCAACCAGTGGAGTAGAAACAGGTTGGTCAGTCATTGATGTTGAAGAGTGAGGTGTTTGAGAGTGACTCGTGGGATTATCAGGCAATAAAGGAGACACAAAAGATGACAGATGCTGTGAGGAGGAAGGGAGCATAGAACTAGGAACATGCTACGTAGACTAAAAAACAGAACCAGCTGATGATTGTATAAGGTCTATACAAGAAGTTGAAACACTAGAAATTTTAGGAGTGATGAAAGGAAAGTCCATTTCATCAAATTTGACACTTTGACATATAAAGATTCGACCACTAGGAGCAAGACATTTGTATCTTTTGTGTTGCAAACTGAAACCAATAAAGGTGCATTTAGTGGTATGAAAATCAAATTTGTGATGGTTATAGGGCCTAAGGAATGGATAAGCAGCACAACCAAAGACCTTTATGTGAGAGTAGTTTGGGGAATGATGAAATAGTTTTTGAAATGGAGAGAGATTGGAGAGCACTGGAGAGGGAAGTCTGTTGGTTAAATAAACTGCAGTTTGAAAGGCATGCCACCAGAATTTGAGAGGCATGTGAGCTTGTGCTAACAAGGTTAGGCCTTGCTCAACAATTTGTCTATGTTTCCTTTCTACTCTACCATTTTGTTGGTGGGTGTGTGGACACGGGTGCCTAAAAGGAATACCATGTTGAGCAAAGTAAGGTGCAAGACCCTAAATTCTCCTCCCCAATCAGTTTGAACACATTTCGAGGTTGAACTAAATTGTCTTTCTACTAACTTATGGAATTGAGTGAAGATAGAGTAAGTTTCAGACTTATTTTTCAAGGGAAATATCCAGGTGAACCGACTGTGATCATCCAAAAACTGGATGTAGTACTTGAATCTCTCAGGTGAAGAGACAGGGGATGGTCCCCAAAGATCTAAATATATCAGATCAAGAGGTTTAGCTGACTGGGAAGAGGACCTAGGATATATGGACTGCTTTAATTTTCCAAACTGGCATGCTTGGCAAAAGGTGTAATCAGTCTTGGATGAGTGAGGTACTTTAAGATCAGTTAGGATTTTAGTTAAAACAGAACTATTTGGGTGTCTTAATCTCCTATGCCACAACATAACATCAGTTCTTTGAGCAGGAAATGATTGCATACCATGCATTTTATTTATATCATAAGCAAAACAAAAAGAAGATACATTTTCAGAGTTATATTCTGTAACAGTATTGACAGAATTAGGTGCTGTAACAGAAAACTTATTACAATGCAGACATGGTTGGCAAGCAGATAAGGCACAACTTGATAGACACTTAGAGTTATTTGTAGATACTAAAGGCAAAATACAAGTGCTGAAAGAAGGCACTGAATTATTATCATGAAGCTGATGATTGACTGAAGCTGCCAAGTCTTCAGTAGAGTTTAAAGAAGTAGAGATTGAAGGCGGAAGTCGGTATAGACCATCCTTAAGCATTCCTTGAAGAAGAATTGCTTTGGAAGACTTGTCCTTAACCAAACAGTAGCTAGAGTAAAATTCAACAAATACTTCATTATCTTTAGTAAATTTAGATAGGTTTTTTTGTAATTGTAGGGACATAAAGAACATTCCTAAGATGCAATTTTCTACCAGGACAAGATAACCAAGAAGAACCAATATGAGAGATTGAGAGGAACTCACCATTTCCCACTTGGAGCTGCTCACTGCAAGTGTAGCTAGTGCTTGCTGTTAATTGTCCAAAATCAGAAGTGACATGGTCTGTTGCTCCAGAGTCCATGTACTATGCTGCATCCTGAACAGCTGAAGGTGTGGCAACATAATTGATTGCTGCAGGGGTGTGGTTCTGATTTTGAGTCTGGGATTGAGCCATGAACACCTGACTGTTTGTGTTTGCAGGTCTAGATGCAGAGGACTGATGTGTTGGTGAAGCAAAACCAGAAGAAGACTGTGTGGAGAAATCCTTTGATGACTGCACTAGTGATCTTGAATTCATGCTAACTCCAGTGCAATGGTTAGGAGGTCCAAAATTAGAACCTTGTGACAGTCCTGAGTGTGGATAATAAGATGGTCTTCCAGAAGTAAAATCAGAAGATCCTATAAGTTCAGAAGGTCTTCCAAAATTAGGAGCAAAAACATGACTCACATTACTCTTGACCTGTGCATTATTACCAATAAAATGTACATCAAATCTGTGGTAACAAGGCTGAGCTAGGTGTCCTGTCTTCCCACAGACTTGACAAACAAATCTGTTCCTACCACCTACTCTGCCTCGGCCTCTTCCTCTAGTAACATTTCCAGATTGATATGGATAAAATTGATTATGAGGGGTTAGGTACACAGGATAATTTTGATGTGCAGTCTGATTTGCAGTATAGTGGGATGGCACTAGGTTATGTGTCTACTGTAAAGGTATTGGATGTGTATGTGATGGAGACTGGGAACCTGTTCTCAGAAAAGTTTCATTTGCATCCAATTGTGATTTGTTTCTATTATTGTCAATACTTAGATTTGCAACATTAGCAAAGATCCCGTGAAATTTAGACTGTATAGCTAATCAATGCATTATTAGCCTTTTCTAACCTAAGCTCCAGTTTTTGCATAATTATTTGAGCTTCTTGAACTAAAATAGGATCTAATCTAGACTCTAATCTAGTAGTAATGTTTACTACACTGCATCGTAATCAGAATCAAGTCCATCTAAGATGAAATTCAACAATTCTTCATCAGAAATCATAATTCCACTTGAGGACAAACTTTCGGCAAATCCTTTCATTTTAAGGAAGTAATCATGCATACTTAGGTCATGTTTCTTTGTATTTTGCAGTAAGTTCTTAATATGTAGTGTCTTAGCTCGTGACTTAGTAAGAAATTCTTTTTCTAAAGTGAGCCAAATCTCAGTTGATAATTGACATTTAGAGATTACCGAAAAGATTGACTCTGAAATGGATGACAACAGCCAGCTGACAAGGAGTTTATCTGTCTTCTTCCAGAGGTGGAATTCTGGATTAGGTTTTTTGACAACTTCAAAGGTTGGACCAGCTGATTGGACTCGAATGAATGGCGTTGGGCAAGAAATCAATCTGGTGAGGTGATCCTCAAGATCATGAGCCCCTACTGCAAACAATATTTGCGACTTCCAGAACCTATGATTATCTCTAGTGAGTTTGGGATTGATTACAGGGAGTGTATTTGAGGATATTGTGGTTGAGCAAGTAAGATTACTGAGGTAAGAATTATGCTTCTGTCTTGATTGAACTAAATCTTTATTAGATTTGTGATGTGGAGAGGAATTTGATGAGAAATCGGCCATTGTTGATGTTGGTCAAAGGCTCTGATACCAAGTTGGGAATGAGAATTGAGAGGGAAAAAAAAAAACTTAAGAGAGTAAAGTTGTTACTGTTTTCTTTTCATTAACTAAGTAAAAAGGTTACAAGCTCTGTTATATACAAGAGCACAATACACGTGAGTTAACAAATTGCAACTTGCAACTTAGGCTAGGCTAAGGTTACTTGTCAGTAACCTAAACATAATGAACCACTTGGCACACTAATCCTAACATCTTCCCTTAAACCAAACTTCCAATAGACATGACCATTTCGGAAACAAACTAATCCTAACACTAAGTATAATTAAAGAATCCATTGCCGCTTTCATTGATCTAATTAGTAGTTGACTTTGAGACATTCAAGGAGGAATATGTCAACAATTAAGTTTTTAAGTAAGATATAATATAAACTGGTTAAACAATGGAGTACAGTTTTGAGAAAATCCCATATGTAACAACTGATAAAAGTCAATTGGGAAAGGGAGATTTCTTTTAAAAAAGGCAATTGATAGTATATTATAGATTTGACAAGATTAATTGAAAGAACAGATATCTAGCTAGGTTAGGATACCAAATTCCAAGACCTGGATTACTTAGTCTTTGAATCATGCACCTATTTAATTAATTAACATAATTAAACATACTCATATTTCATGCATATGATTTAATCAATCCACCCAAATCAGCCATTTGGCTGCATGTCATCTCGACACTAACATCTCTAAGATCTAGGCCTCCATCTCATTACTTTCCAGTTATCTTATGATTAGATTTAATATAGAAAAGTAAGTCTAAACTTGTATCTCAAATAAGATGGAGGCCTGGATCTTAGAGATCCTTCTCTATGGTTACTTATATTGGAGAGCGTTGTAAGGTTAAACATACAATAAGGAAAATTAAGCTACTGCTTAGAGAAGATCAAGATCGAGCACAACAATTTGCCTTGTCTTTGTTTTTTAATTTTAACATTTTTTTCTTCAATTTCTCCTTTTAATAAAATGATCATATACAATTTACGTACTCATCAAGTTCGAGACCTATTAATTAAACTAAGTTTCTTCATTTGTCATTTGCGGAAACAAATTTACAATGGTAAGTATAATTAAAGAATCCACTGCCACTTTCATTGATTTAATTAGTAGTTGAGTTTGAGACATTCAAAGAGGAATATGTCAATAATAAAGTTGTCCAGTAAGATATAATATAAACTAGCTAAACAATTGATTAAGGTTTTGAGAAAATACCATATGTAACAACAGATAAAAGAAATTGGGAAAGGGAGGTTTTTGTTAAAAATCAATGTATAATATATTATAGATTTGACATGATTAATTGAAAGAACATATATCTAGCTAATTTAAGATACCAAATTTCCATAGGTTAATGGATCCACTATGCAGTGGAATTTAAAAAATTTTTATTCAAGATCCGCTAACCTTTAACCCATGATCCTTACGCCAATTACAATATTTTTGCATTAAAAATCAAATCAAAGGTAAAGTGTATCATACCAGTGTTGGAGGCTCCTTCAATTTGATAATAGATTTGCAAATCACTTCAATGTAGAAGTGCATGATTGGTATCCTCACGAAGACAGACTATCGCCGTTTTGAGATTTTATAGACTAGCAAAATCTCACAACTTTAAGAACAGAAGTTTTTTGCAGAACTTTTGTTGGGAGAAAAATTCTTTCTCTCACAAAGAGGCTCACGGTTTTGAGAGAGAGAGAGAGAGAGGTGGCTAGGGTTTCAATTTTGCAACTCAAAAATTACTTAATGATTTAATTTTCAGTTGCACTTAAATAGTGCATACTAAAATTCTATACCGACTTGGAATAACCATATATGCCAATTGGAATAGCAAACAACTTACTCCAATTTGGAATAGATTCCCCTTGCAACCATACATGACATTTCTAATTCAAATTTAAAAACCAAAATTTGAATTTTATATTATTAATATTAATAATAAATATTAATATTAGATAATATCCATTATATTTAAATTTAATTCATTTCAAATTTAAAAACCAAATTTGAATTTCATATTATATTAATATTAGATAATATCCTTTATATTTAAATTCAAATATATATAATCTCACTAATTTAATTTCCATATGAAATTAAATTTAGGCAACAACCTCAGCAAGTTTAATTGCACTGTGAAATTAACAAAGTGCCCTTTCTCACAAATGACGAAAATATCCTTTCATCATAAATGACAAAAATACCCCTCTTACAAATTATGTTCTTAATATGTATTCTATGTCTGCAACCCGAAGGCTCCTCATCGTATTAATAGTGAACAGTATCGCGATTGATAATCAATCAATCGTCCCACTCAACATAGTTCAAAATTGATTACCATGCAATTCAATCATTTCATTATCTATTATCTCATCGAGGCTGAGGCACAGAAGTAGTATCAACCTCGGATATCCTTGATATCGTGGTATTTGGTTATTAGATCAACGATCGAAAGAGAATGGATTGAGCTATAACTTAATCCCATTATGGGCACAGATTTAATGTCGTTGCCATCTACCGAATAATTCAGTGAGATAATTTCTCCCATACCCGAGAGTAATGAATCCTCTATCGATCCACCATAGTCTCGATACACTTCTCGATGTAACCAATAACTAACATTCTGAAACTTTTGAGTAGAACTACGTTGGGCTAGTGTCAAACCACACCACTTGGTGCATAAGGTGCTCCGATGTTAGAGGATTTTTTCCACATGCGCTAGGGTTACTATTTATGTGGAATCATCTAGTGGATCTGTCTAGTAAACTTGCTTATGACAAGCACCCATGTGTTGCACCAGGTTGTTGGTAAACAACCTTGACAAGTGAGATTAGTCACTGCCTTACGATAGGGTCGTTCAACACTATGATAGCCTTACCATATTATCTGTGTCCTTGGTCAGAATAATATTGGGGCTATGAACATTTTTAGAATGGCCACCATATATGATCATAGGATTTTTACTATCAAGATTTAAAACACTCCATACCCTCGTCCCAATTCTACCATCCTAAGTACACATATCATTTTATTATACAAATATAATCAAATCACATGATATAGATAAATATTTTTATTGATAATAAAACATGATTACAAAGAGTCAACACTACAATAATTGATTGGCTTTAGGGCACCTACTCTAGCAATCTCCTACTTGCACTATAGCCAACCATTCAATGTATTTAATACCAAATGACGCTAAGTGCCTATCATGCTTCTGCTGCACATCTCCTTTCTAGATCGATTTCTTAGATAAGATTGAATCAACTAAGTATATATTCGGATCACTGGTGAGATCGTGGTTCCTTAGCCATAGCAATGGCTCCATTATTATCGTAGTAGATCTTTATTAGATCAATAATGCTTGGAACCACATCATGTTCAGTAATGAACTTCTTGATCCAAACCGCCTCCCCGGCTACATTAGATAATGCGATACACTTAGCATCAGTTGTAGAATTTGCTACAGTACTTTGTTTTGAGCTTTTTCAGCTCACTGCAGCTCCATTGAGACAAAATACAAAGCCCGACTGCAATCAATAATCATCCTTGTCTATTTGGAAACTAGCATCACTATATCCTCTTATAGTGAGCTCATCTTCCCCTCTATAAACCAAGAACATGTCCTTAGTCCATTTCAAGTACTTAAGGATGTTCTTGACAGCCATCCAGTGATGCTCACCTAGATTCAATTAATATCTACTAAAAGTGTTTAATGCACATGAGACATCAATCCAAGTACACAACATGGCATACATAATGGATCCAATTACTGACGCATATGAGATCCTCTTTATTCTATCTCTCTCATCGTGTGTTGTAGGACATATATTCTTAGAGAGATAGACACCATGTGACATCGAAAGAAATCCCTTCTTGGATTCTTCCATATTGAATCTCTTCAGTATCTTGTCTATGTACATACTGTGACCTAGGCCAAGTAACCTACATGATCTATCACGATAGATCTTTATTTCGAGGATGTAGGCTACTTATCCTAAGTCCTTCATAGAGAAGCACTTGCACAATCAAGTTTTTACTGACTGCAAGTTTGGTATATCATTCTCGATGAGAAGTACGTCATCAACATACAACACCAAGAATGCCACTACGCTTCCACTTACTTTCTTGCAAACATAGGGCTCATATTCGTTCTTGATAAACAGAATTCTTTTACAACTTCATTAAAACGAATGGTCCAGCTCCTTGAAGCTTGTTTGAGTCTAAAAATGGACCTCTACAACTTGCATATCTTATCAGCCTGTTCATCAAGAACAAAACCATCGGGTTGTATCATATACACATCCTCTTCAAGGTTTCTATTTAGGAAAGTTGTTTTGACATCCATCTGCTAAATTTCATAGTCATAATATGCAGTAATCACAACCATAATCCGGATGGACTTAATCATAGCTACTGGCAAAAAGGTTTCTTCATAGTTAATGCCATGAGTTTGTTTGAAACCTTTGGCAACCAGTCATGCCTTATAGGTATGCACCTTGCCATCCATGTCAGTCTTCTTCTTAAAGACCCATTTATACCCCATGGGTTTTACCCCTTCAGGTGGATCCACCAGAGACCATACTAGGTTCTGGTACATGGAGTCGATCTTAGATTTCATGGCTTCAAGCCATTTAATGGAATCTGGATTCGATATAGCATCATCATAGGTCTGGGTTCATTGTCTTAGTAGACCAGTACGTCGTCATGCTGAGTCATGAGAAAATCATATCTCTCGGGCTGATGGCATACTCTTCCAGACCTACGTAGCTCCTATGCTACTTGAGGTGGTTCACTTTGATCCACAGATTGTGGAGTAACCTCCTCACGATGTTCAACTATTTCTTGTGGCACATAATCCGTCATTCGTCTAATGTATCTTGTGGTACTAGAACTTCATTGAGTTCTACTTTTCTCCCTCTAGTACCTCTTAGAAGAAATTTCTTTTCTAAAAAGACACCAGTACGAGCAATAACAACTTTGCGCTCTTCTAGGTGGTAGGAATAATATCCTTTAGTCTCCTTAGGATACCCCACAAATATACATTTATTAGATTTCGGGCACAACTTGTTTGAAGTCAATTTCTTGACATAAACTTTGCAACCCCAAATCTTCAAATAAGACAAATTAGGCTTTTGCCTACTCCATAGTTCCTATGGAGTCTTATCAACAAACTTTGATGGCACAAGGTTAAGTACGTGAGTCGCAGTCTCTAAGGTATAACCCCCAAATGATGCATGTAGATTATTAAAACTCATCATGGACTTAACCATATCAAGTAAGTCTTTATTCCTCCTTTTAGACACACCATTATGTTGGAGTGTATACGTAGAGGTGAGTTTTGATATCATCCACATTCCTTCATGTATGTTTAACTCAACTTGCCACACTTGGCACGGTTTTTACTTTAAGAATATCAATATTGTCTATTTCGAGAACATATAAAATTATTATGAAATAGTTTCATAAAGAATATTATTTATACCAAAAGACAACAATCCATTAGTAATAAAAGCAATATTCTCATTTGTCCAAAGTGGATACGGAAACATCATTTCTAGAAACTGAAGGAAAATCATAATAATCCATTAGTTCCATAACAATCCTGTAAGAAAAGTGAAACAATTAGATCCTACAGCTAATACAACATCACGTGCTCTATTTCCAACTAGTAGGTTCACCTCTCCCTTCGCGAGTAATCTATTCTGCTGTAGTCCATCCACATTAATACAAATGTGAGTACTACATCCTGTGTTAATGACCCAAGATGTTGAAAGGGAGAAGTTAATCTCAATCATGAATGTACCTGATGAAGAAATAGCATTCTTCTACCTTTTTTTGCTAGGAAGGCCTCACAATGTTTCCTATAGGCTAGGATTTCCACAATGAGGACAAACACCCTTCCTTTCTACAATAGTTTCTTCCAACAACTTCTAAGCCTTTTCATTCACACTTGAGTTAGCTTCAACCAACATCAATGTTTCTAACATTTTGATGCCAGACTTAATAGCCTTCAACATATCTAGGAGCTCGGAAAAGGTATATTCTTACCATCCTCAATAAAGTCATAGACAAATTGAGAGTAAGAATCTGGCAAAGACTGTAATATTAGGTATATTGCTAAACCCTCATTAAGTCTACATCCCAAAATCTCAAGCTTGTTCATATACTCGGCCAACTTAAGTATATGATTATCAATTTTGTTACCCTCTTCCATCTTGCATCTAAACAGTGACTGAGACACCATATGCTTCTCATTTTTTTTTTTTTTTTAATAGAGTATAAAGAATGGAAGCTAAGTCTGTATTTTGGCACTGCAATCGTAGTAATGGTGTCATTGATGCAAGCACAATGTACCTTGTCATGTGTATGATTCATATATACATACCCAGTCTAATGGATAGACCTATCAGCAGGTTCTGATGACAAAGTCTGGCCAATGGTCTATAATCTATTGCTTGACTTAAGTATATTGTTTATACTTCTATACCAGTCAACGAAATTCACACCATTCCATTTGTTTCCCAATTCAATGATTTGTCGAAGTGGTGATGGGTTCATATTGCTCATTTTAATGAATCTACAAGTGCAGAATAAGCAAAAGTTATTATTATGTTTATTATTATTTAATAAGGTCTTTTATTAAATAATTGCTCCCACTATTTTCCTCAAGCTAATAGCCCTCAATATTTCAAATATGAAACTTCATACGCCTTAAG